ATTAATTTTCTTCCACCAACTAATTTTCAATATTGTCTCTGGAATTGCTCCATATTCTGAGATTCAAATGTTCTTCCACATCCTGTCCAACTTTCAGGGAGTAAATAACCTCAAAATGCATGACTTTTATCAACATTAAAGCTGTAGTTTATAGTGACAAACATTGTAATTTACATTACTGCTCGCGTAAATTTTTGAATGCTCATATATTTCTATGGTAAGCTCTGAAAGCAACTGAAAACAAGTTGAGTATTTTTGAAAAATACATTTTCAAACTTCTACTTTTCGCATTCATCAGTACCATCTACAAATATCCAAGTAAGGGAAAACAACACTTACACTACGAGAGAGGAGAATACGGATTGCTTGGCAAGAGGACTCTCTATGACATCACCTACCAATCAGCACTCTTCTCTCAAACAACGTAAATGTTGGTTTTCTCGCAAATTGTCATATTAGGTGCAAGACAAAAAGCTTCAATGTGTCTTTTCTCAACAATACTCGTGCTCTGCAACACCAAAGGACTATAAAGACAAACAAAATATTTATGACCACTCGTCATTAGTTACAACGTAGGATCTGGCTTAGAATAAATGATCATCGAATTAAAAAACTCCAAATTTCTAAAGTCTCAAATTTTTTAACAAAAGATTAGGTTAAGAAACAAAGCTCAGCATGAATCCTGGAATTATCGATGAACTCAGCATAACAATTTTGATTTTGGCGCTCCTTCTGATTAATCCAACTGGGATATTATTTGTTGAAAAACTGCATTAAGCATTGGGCCACAAGGCAATCAGCAGAATAATAGATAGTAAGAATTGTCGATACTAGAGTCAGAGATAACAGTGTGGAGTTGGAGGAACACAGCTGGTCAGGCAGCAGCGGAGCAGGAAAGCTGACGTTTTGGGTGGGGGCCCTTCTTCAGAAACGTCAGCTTTCCTACTCCTCGAATGCTTCCTGACCTGCTGTGTTCCTCCAGCTCCACAGCAGAATAACTGACCTTTTTTTTTTTTTTTATTTACTGTTGTGCAAAGTGTAGGTCATGATAATTTAATATGCTGCTTTTCATCTCAGGCAGAGTGATTGTTCAGTATTTAAGTGCATAAAAACAGGAAGAAATCCAAACAGACTCTTTACTTTCAATAAAATGCTACTAGGAATTCATAACTAGCCAATATGCATTATTCAAAAATTTATGAACATCATGAGCATACTGCATAGCAGAACTTAGCTTCACAACGAAGCAACTCGTTTCTAAAATAAAAACAAACAAATAACTGGCTGATCACATCAAAATTGTTATATGTAGTATTTTTGGAGTTTCAAATTTATTCATAAAACTTGACAGGTGTGGCACAACATACTTAGCATCTTTTCACAATTTTAATGTTGACCTAGAGTTATTAAGAATTAATATTAATACAAATGCTATTGAAATGATTACTAAAATTGAACGTATGTAGCACTCAGTCTACAACATACACTTCAATTGTGCATTATTGGCCTTTCTTAACCTACTATGCCATATCAAAAGTCTTCATGGAATTTGGGGACACCAATACAATCCTTATAGCTTGGGTCCCTTTTCGTGTGTTAAATATGCATTTCAAATGCAATGTTCAAAATAGAGTAGTTACAAATTATACAACTGTCCCAAATCAGAATTTAAGGAAACATGCACTGTATCAATTATGAACCAGTGGTGAACAATTACTGAATACAGTAAATTACACTAACACCTTAAAAGGTGAACAAATATCCACTAACACCAAGCAAATTTTAAAGAATCAAGTGTAAGAACCCAGCTCAGTAAACATGGACAAATGTTCACCGTATTATCTGCAAGATTATACTCTATTTTTCACCCAGAAACAATTATTTGAAATTTTGATTCGTTTAAATAATTTCTACACAGCAAAAGGTATGAATACTACTATCTTTTGCTGTATAAGATTTAGTATTTTGCAGCAGTTCAGATACTTAAATGAATTAGCAATACTTTTTAAAATGTCACGCCATGCAATGTAAATAAAAGATTTTCATGCTTTCAGCATGGTCCTACCTGTGTTCTCATTTACAGTGAAACGACCAAGACCACTGCCATCCCGGATAGAGTACCGAATCTGTCCATCCCTTCCATCATCACCATCTTTTGCTGTCACTTGCAGAACACTTGTCCCAACTGGTGCATTTTCCTTCACAGATGCCATTGTAGCAAATTCCGAAAACTGTGGTGCATAAAGATTTTCATTCACATCAACTACTTCAATTTCTATAAAAGATGCTGAGGACAATGATATGGGCCGGCCTTTATCTTTAACACGAATTGTCAGATTGTAGAATTGCTGTTTTTCGAAGTCCAGCTCTTTTGAAAGACGTACAGCTCCATTGATTCGGTCAATTTCAAACTTCCCATTATAATCATTCACCAAAGAATAGCGCACTTGACCACCTAAACCGAGGTCAGGATCATGAGCTTCAAGCCATGTTACCACAGCACTGACAGGCATATCTTCAAGCACCCTAACAAAATAACTTGAAGGAACAAAATGGGGAGCATTATCATTAACATCCACAAAAATGATCTCCAGATCTACCACAGAATATAGTTGAGGACCAGAGTCAGCTTGGTCACGGGCTTCTACTTTCAGAGTACAGTTAGCAATCAATTCCCGATCAAGCAACTCAGTGACATAAACAATGCCAGTTGAGGCATTAATAGCAAACTGGGGTGTGTGTGTTAATAGTGTGTAAATTATTTCACTGTTGCAAGCCAAATCTTCATCCGTAGCCTCAATCTGAACTATTTCTGTACCAATAACTGTATCCTCTGGAATGCTAACGGAGTAACTTTCCAGCAAAAAACGAGGCTTGTTATCATTAGCATCCTGAATATGAATCGTCATCAGTCTCCAGGCAGAGTTTGGAGGAGACCCCAAATCATAAATAGTGATGTTAAGAATGTATTTATCAGTTAATTCACGATCCATTGGCATCAGAACTGTTAGCCATCCTGTTTCCATTTCAATATTAAAACAACTATCAACATTGCCATCAGAGATGGTGTATACAACTTTGCCATTGAAGCTACTATCTGCATCAGAGGCTGGGATCTTAACAATAGTACTGCCAATGGGAAGATCTTCCTTAATGGCTACTTCAGAAGGAAATGATTTATCAAACTGTGGCGACTGCCTGTTAATTGAATAGAGATCGAGGAATAAGTCCTCCATTTTTGGCTTATTGTTTACTTTTACCATTTTGAGCAATTTTTCAGCTAGTCTCTTCGCAACTCCAGTTTCTCTGCACGAATAGTCCTTCGTAGTTGGCTTACCATCTACCAATGAAATATTAAGAAACATAGGATCAGCAATATTCTCTCCATCCGTAGCTGTTATCTGAAGTGTAAAGCGGCCATCTTTTGGATTTGCACTGTCCAATGTTTTTGACAGGAAAAGCACACCGGAGTCAGAATTTAGGTCAAAGAATCCAAGTTCATTGCCAGAGACTATCCTATATTTTACCAATTCCAGTTCATCAACATCAATAGCTGAGACTGTAGTTATTTGTTCCCCAACAGGAAACTCATGGGAAATCACTCCTCGGCAGTCCACTTTTTCAAAGAGGGGCTTATTGTCATTCACATTTTCCACATTTACAGTTACATTTACTTCATTCTCACGTCGATAAGGTGAACCCCAATCTGACGCCCGAACAAAAAACCTATAACTCCGAGGTGAAGACTCAAAATCCAGCAGTTCACTTGTGCTGATGATACCTGTAAACTGGTTTATTACAAAAGGTAATGGGTTCAGGCTGCGAATGCTGTATGTCACATATCCATTTTCTCCTTGATCATTATCAGTCGCAGTAACAACTAAAACACTGCTACCAATAGGCATGCTCTCATTGATTGATGTCTCGTATGATAGTTGATGAAATTCTGGTGTATGATCATTGGCATCTTCTACTTTTATCACAACTTGAACTTTCATTTCACTGACATTGCTCATCACCTCCAATATGAAATACTCTCTCTCAAGGATGCGTATATGCTGTGTCGTGGTGACCAGGCCAGTATGAGGATTAATGGAGAAATACTGAGCATCTTCAGTTTCACCAAGATTATATTTCACATTCTGTGGTTCAGGCTTTAGCTTAACAGCAACAACTACTACTCCAGGGGGAGCAAATTCATTCACTTTCACTTCATAGGCATCCTCTGCAAAGGATACTTGGTTTTCATTTTCCTCCAGATTTTTAATATGTACAATTTTCACTGCAGAGAATTTTTGAGGAGTTCCCTTATCTTTTGCTTGAAGAGTAAGATTATAGCCATAAGGGATGTCTTCCCAATTCACTGTCTTTGCTAACTTTATCCAATATTCCCTGCTTCCTAACCCAGTTCTAACAAGATGGAACTGTTCTAAAGGATCACCCGCCACAATAGATACTGATTCAATTTCACCATTAATTCCATCATCCAGGTCATCTGTGGTGATAATTGCATAGATAGGATCAATGTCCATCAAGGAAGGAACATGTGACACTACGCTTAATGTTGGGGCATGTTCATTAAACCTATCAATATGAATGACTAGCTTTGCTGTACTGCTTACTCCATTGTTTCCATAAAGTTTCATTCCACGATCCACTGCTAAAACCTCTAGGTCATATTGGCTTCTCTCATCATAGTTCAGTTTGCCACTGACAGAAACAATACCACTAGTTGGATGTACAGCAAAAATGTCAACTCTATCTTTAAAATAGTAATAAAATTCTCCATTTGATCCTATATCTGCATCAGTTGCTGTCACCTGAGCAATACTTGTTCTCAATGGTGTGTTTTCAGGAATTGTTACAGAATACGTTGTTGGAGAAAATAAAGGCCGCAAATCATTCATATCCAAAACTTGAATATTTACTTTTGTCCACGCCTCCAGAGCTTCCCCTTTAATGGCAGCTTTCACAACAAGTGAATAGTGGTTCTGAACCTCCCTATTCAGTATGGCAGAATTACCTCCCTTAGTCCTTATCCTTAGGAAACAGAAATCCCCTAGTGAAACTTCTTCTACTTTGAAGAAGCTGTCTTCATCTCCAGAAATAATTCTGTATTTAATGTCCCATGATGGATCAGTCAAGCTTATCCCCATTTTAACTTTACTGTTGGCATAAGTCCTTGCAGCAGAGTTCTCGTAAATAGTGGCATTATATAGAAAATGTGTAAACTGGAAGGTTGCAGGCAAAGCTCGTTCTTGAAACTGGTGACCCTTGCAATTAAAGCTGTAGAGCTGGAACAGCAGGAGGGCAAGGCAGAGGAAGGAAAGTGGCATGCCAGCCCCACAGCCCATATTTAGATCCATTCCATCATTCTTCCATTCTAATATTGAGACAATAAAAGAAAAAAGTTATGAATTAGGGTAATGCACACAAGTAAACTATAGTCTTAAAAAAATACATTCCTACCCAGAACTTTAAATTGATTACTATTGATTGCAAGATTTAATCAACAATCTTCAAAATGGTTTAAAGATATTTTAATCACAAGATGAACTACAGTGGATCCACTAAACACAGTAGCCTCAATTCTGTGGTGTAAACAGCAAAACTGCTACTATTATGTTTGTGGTCCTTTGAAACTGACAGCAATCTCTGAAGTTAGCACATGCACAACTAAACTCATGGGACTCAGCTCAAAAGAGGGTATAAGTCTAGCAACTGCGGTTTGGTCAGTTTAACATCAGTGGCAAGGTTTCTGAAACAATAATCAGAAAAACATCAACAGGTACTTTAAAAAGCTTATAAAACAAAGAACAGAGGATGCTGGTGAAATCCAGGTCAGGTCTGGCAGCATCCGTGGAGTGAAAGCAGGGTTATCATTTCAGGTTCAGCTGAAATGGATTCTGGTGAAGTTGCTAAGAAAAGTGATATTTATGCTGAAGTGGGTGGGTGGGGAGCAGGAGTAATGAGAGATATGAAAGAGGTAGGCAAATGAGGGTATTTTTGATTACAGGCCACAACAGGAGAAACTGAAAAAAAAAGTGATAATGACAGCTGAATGTAGGAAAGAACGAGCAAGCTGTGTTGAAAGCAACCCATTTAATGTAATAACAGGACAGAGTGGGTGACAATGGGTTGGTTGTACTAAAAGCAACCTACGGTCATGACAGGGGTGGGTAAGGAAGGTGGGTAAAAACACTGATGCAAATCAGGTTCTCAAGTTATTGCATTCAATGCACGTCCTGGAGGCTGCAGGGTCCCCAAGGGGTAAAAATGAGATATTGTTCTTCAAGCTTACACTGAGTAGCTTACACTTGTTATTGCAGCAAGCCTGTGATAAAAATGTTGACTTGGGAACACCTGTTGAACTGGCAGGAAACTGGAAGCTTGAGGTAATTTTTACATACAGAATGAAGATGTTCTGAAAAGCAGTCACCCAGTCTGCACTTTATTTCCCAAAGCAGGAGACCACAGAAGTAGCAGCAAATACAGTAGATTTGGTTAAATGAAGTGCAGATAAACTGCTGCTTCACCTAGAAGGTAAGCCTGGGCCTATGAATGGCAAGAAAGGAGGTGGTAAACGGCAGCCATTACCTTTCTTCGAATGCATGGGAAGGCGCCATAGGAGGTGTGGGGGGTTGCTGTTAGGAATAGAGTCAGAGTGGACCAGGATGTCCCAGTGGTAATGGTCCCTGTGGAATGCTGACAAGGGACAGAGGGAAGTGTGTGCCTGGTCGTGGCACCTTGTTAGGTGTTGGAAATGGCAGCTCATGATTCTTTGGATGCAGAAACTAATGGGGTAGTAAGGGAGGACCGGGGGACGTTATTATTGTTGTGGGAGGTAAGAGAAGGGATGAGGACAGAATTCTGGGAGATGGGTCAGACACAGCTAAAGGCCCTGTCAAGGATGCTAGAGGGGATCCACAGTTGACAAGAAACAATGGACACTCGAGGCCCTCTATAGAAGGCAGTCATCAGAACAGATGTGAGGTGGGGGGGGGGGGGAAAGAGTGTGGAGAGAGAGAGAGAGAGAGAGAGAGAGAGAGAGAGAGAGAGAGAGAAATAGTTACAGACAGACAGGATTTGTAAGAGTTATTGTGCTCAACTTACTGAAGTAAACAAAAAACATTTGATGAAAAGAATACAAATTCAATTGTTTGTATGGATCTTGAGAAAGGCTTTGAAAATGTACCACAAAAACCTGGTTAACAAAATTCAGGCTCTTGGAAGTGCAAATACAAGGACACCTGGGATAAAAATATCGACTTAAGGACAGGAAGTATTGAATTGCAATTAGTTGATTTTCAAACTCTAGGGTGATCGACAGTGATGTTCCTTAAGCATTGGTGCTAGAATTGTACCTTGTTACTTATACAGAACTTTGGATATTTGCATACAAAAATACAAGTAAAATTTCAAACTTTACCAAAATCTCCAGTTGTAGAGGTGGGGCAGACATCAATTGATCACAACAGAATATAAATAGTTTAGCAAAATTGGCAAGCAAATGGAATTTAATAGAGAAATAAATGTTTAAATTATACTTAAATGGGGAAATACTGCAGAAAGGTACAGCAGAGGGATGCGGGAGCCTTAATGCAAGAATCAAAAAAAGCCAGTATACTAAATTCAGTAGGTATCAGGGAATGCAAATGTAATGTTGGCCTTTTTATATTCCATTCCTTTTGAAACAGAGGATTTTGCTTAGATCATACAAGGCACTGGTCAAGCCAAAGCTGGAATGCTGTGAAGAGTTTTGGTCCCTTTATCTAAAAAAGAGAGACCTGGCACTGGAAGCAGTTCAGAGAAGGTTCAGTAGGTTGATCCAGGGTATGGAGCGATTTTCTTATACAGGACAGGATGAAAAGGTTAGGTCTGTACTCAGTAAGTTTAGGAGAATCAGAGGAGACCTGACAAACATAAAAGATTCTTAGGGGCTTGTAGGGTAGATGCAGAGTGGTTGCTTCCTACTGTAGTGTAGGGTAGGACCAAAAGGACAATCTTAGTATGGAGTAGCCCATTTCAGAAAGAGCTATGGAAACATTTGAGGGTAGTGAATCTGTTGAATTCTTTACTGCAGGGGGCTATCGAAAGCAGATTTCTAATCATTAAAGCAATGAAGAGTTATGGGGATAAACCATGAAAATGGAGATATAGATGGTCAGATCAGCCGTGATCTCATTGAATGGTACAGCAGACTTGATAAGTTCATTGGCTCCCACATCCCATGGTCTTAAATGAGAAGTGATGCGCTTTGTATTGGCAGAATTGAGAAAAACAAACTTAAAATGGCAGTCTAAAGGTTTGCAAGAACAAAAGGAATCAGTGGGTTCATCTAACATGTCTATGAAGGTGCCAAGACACACAAAGGAATTTATAAAAGGAAATGGAATCTCTTTTATAAAATTACAGTGTTCAGTATAAAGTAGGGAAATTATACTGAACCTGAAGCCTACAGTCCACACCTAGGGTATTACAATCATTTCTGGTCACTACACTTTAGAATGCGTGTGAGGGGCCTTCAGCTGGTGGGTGAAATTTACTAGAATGTAGATTAAATCCTTTTTCCTATTGAAACAAAGCTGCAAGATGTGCTTGAGCAGAGACAGGAGTTAATACACGTGCACAAGAATACGACAGGTTTAGATTAAGGTAGGCAATGCAAAGCCATCCCCATTACCTGATAGCACAAAGACCAGTGAAGACATATTTAAGACTTTGAGGGAAAAAAAAAGAAAAAAAAAAGAGAAAAGGTGGAAATTTGGATGGAACTACTTTTAAATGTAGCAAGCAGGTCCTTCGTGACCTGGAACACACTGCCTATAAAAGTGGACGAAGGATTTGGGAAGCCCATTAGTTCAGTGGGAAACCTAATTGAATCAAATGACATTCAGACACAAATTAGATGCCTTCAGGCCTTCCCATGATTGACATTCCAGGCAGGGGGAAGTCCTGCCAGCCAGAGGAAGAAGTTTACTACTACAGTAGCCGCTAGTAGAAATGAACCCAGAGGCTCAGGTTTGTTTAGGGACTCCAGTGAAAATGACTGAAAATGAGTGGTAGTGCTGATTGTGGTGGTGGTTGCAGAGTTTGGTGGGGGAGGTGGGGGGTGAGGGTTACAGGAAATATATGATTAAGGTCAAGATAGTCTGATAGACGGGTATCTCCACCTCTAGCAATGGAAGGCTGCTAGCAAAATTGACATTTTAATGACCAATTTTCCAAGGGCTCAAGAGACCCATACAACCTCCCATTTTATTCCTTAGCCACCTCTAAATTGTGATCAGCCCAGAGATGGTGTCAACTGGCTCAAATGAATCAACATCCCACAAGCAGTTACCCTTGAACTTAAATTAGGGATACAGATCTCACCACTGGGGCTTCTTCCAAAAAGATGTGGACTCAGCTGCCATGCCCTTTATGATGGGTCACTTTAACTCTAGCCCAATGAATAATTTTAATTAAAGATATTGCATGTGCACTTGACCAAAATGGACTCGGAGGACTATGAAGATTGATCTAATTGAATTGCTCTACAGCAAGCTAGCATTGACTCTGACTGCCAAATTGCCTCTGTGCTGCAATGAATATATGGGCCAGTCTTTGCAGAGGATCTTTAAATATCAAGAACTTGGATGCGGAAAAGCCAAGGACTTGCCTCCTCCCTACCAGCCTCTTCCAGTTTGGCTTGATAAGATCATAGTGTGTTTCAGTGTGATTTTAATGACGTGGTCTCTAATCGAAACTAAGCTCGTAATGTTGCGACTTTTGTTTTAACAATACAGAAACAAACAAGTCCCGAGCTTTCTAACAGTCCTCACTTGTTTACCTGGCTGGATCATAAGCCATCACAAGGCAAATAAAAACTCATGAGTTCTGAAAACTCTCAAACTATTTTTGTTAAAATCACCATGTTACAAAAAAAAACACAATAATTAACTCCTTCAGGCAAACAGAAACCCATGTCGCTACTTCAAAATACAAACAATTTTTATTAAAAATACAAATTGCAGTCTACATCACAAGTTTGCTAGCAGCCAGAAGTGAGAGACGAATTTACATCAGCAGGGCCATTTGAACTTACAGCTGAATTAAAACAGACTGCATTTGTTTGTGCAAAGGAACACAATCCATAGCAAAGTCTTAAGCTGATGCAATAATGTGTTATTATCGGAAATTGTTAAATCATCTGCTCTTCAATTTAAAAAAATAAACAGGCTTAAGTGGTCAGTGAAAAGCACTATTGGACTGCTTCAAATGACTTGCCACCAGGACCAAGAAAGATAAAACAATGAAAACAACGGAAATGGTATTAATAGAATTATTTATTGACATTTTTCAAAGGTGGCAATTAGTCATACGATTGTTTGGTGGGGTTTA